TAGCCTGCACTTGCGCATATTGTGCGCTGCGCATATTCTGCGCCTTTCCTGTAGTGCATATCGTGCATTTTTCGACCGTGCATAGCTTGCACTTGCGCCTATTGTGCGCTGGGCATATCCTGCGCCTTTCCTTAGCGCATGTTGTGCATTTTCGACTGTGCATAGCCTGCACTGCGCATATCGTGTGCTGCGCATATCCTGCACCTTTCCTGCAGTGCATATCGTGCGTTTTTGACTGTGCATATTGTGCACTGCGTATATTCTGCGTATTTTCCACTGGCCATATTGTGCATTTTGATGGTGAATCCCCTGCACCTGCGCCTATCGTGCGCTGCACATGTTCTGCGTGTGTTTTACTGTGCATATCGCGCATTTTTGATGGTGCATATTGTGCGCTGCGCATAGTCTCTGTGTGTTTTACTGTGCATATCGCGCATTTCTGATGGTGCATACCGTGCGCTGCGCAAAGTCTGCGTATTTTGGGTGTGCATACCGTGCATTTTGAGTGTGCATAGCCTGCACTGGCTCATATTGTGCGCTGCGCATATTCTGCAGATTTCCTGTAGTGCATATCATGCACTTTTTGACCATGCATAGCCTGCACCTGCGCCTATCCTGCATATTTTCTGGCATGCATATCATGCATTTTCGACTTTGCATAGCCTGCACTTGCGCATATCTTGTGCTGCGCAGAGTCTGTATTTTTGGGCATGCATATTGTGCACGTTGTGCATGTCGTGCATTTTTTGATGGTGCATATTGTGCGCTGCGCATAGTCTGCATATTTTTGGTGTGCATATCGTGCATTTTGAGTGTACATAGGCTGCACATGTGCATATCTTGTGCTGCGCATATTCCGCGTCCTTTCTGGCGTGCATAGCGTGCATTTTCAACCGTGCATAGCCTGCACATGCGCATATCGTGCACTGCGCATATTCTGCGTCCTTTCTGGCATGCATATTGTGTATTGTGCACTGCGCATATTCTGCATATTTTTGGGCGTGCATATCATGCATTTTTTGACCGTGCATAGCCTGCACTTGCGCATATTGTGCGCTGCGCATATTCTGCGTCGTTTCTGGCGTGCATATTGTGCACTCTTTGATTGTGCATATTCTGCGTATTTCGTGGGCGTGCATATTGTGCATGTTGTGCATGTTGTACATTTTCGACTGTGCTTAGCCTGCACCTGCGCATATCCTGCATATTTTCTACTGTGCATATCATGCATTTTCTACTGTGCATAGCCTGCATCGCGCATATCCTGCCCTGCGCATATCCTGCGCCTTTCCTGTGGTTCCTATCTTGCATTTTCGGCTGTGCATAGCCTGCACTTGCGCACATTCTGCGTATTCTCTGGGATGCATATCGTGCATTCTTGATGGTGCATAGGCTGCACCTGCGCATACCTTGCGCTGCGCATATCCTGCACATTTCTGGCACGCATATTGTGCATTTCGATGGTGCATAGCCTGCATATTTCCTGCCGTGCATATCGTGCTTTTCAATAGCCTGCACTTGCGCATATTGTGCACTGTTTTCTCCTGTGCATATCGTGCTTTAGACAGTGCATAGCCTGCACTTGCGCATATCCTGTGTATTTTCTACTGTGCATATCGTGCTTTTCGGCAGTGGATAGCATGCACTTACGCCTATTCGTTGCCTGCACCCACGCATATTGTGCACTGTGCACATCCTGCGCATTCTCTGACGTGCATAGCCTGCACCCACGCATATCGTGCGCCGTGCATAGCCTACACATTTTCCGGCAGGCATATCGTCCATATTTCGGCTGAATATCATCCATATTTGACCGTGCATTGCCTGCACATGCTCATTTCATGCACTGGGCGTAGCCTGCACATTTTCCGGCTTGCATATTTCGCCTATTTCGACTTTGATTAGCCTAGAATTGCGCATATCCTGCGTTTTCCTGCGGTGTATATCATGCATTTTTGACAATGCATAGCCTGCATCTGTGCATCTTGTGCACTGTGCATATCCTGCACATTTTCCGGCGTGCATATTGTACATACTTTGACGTTCATTAGCCAAGAATTGCGCATATCATGCGCTGCGCATATCCTGCGTTGTTTCCTGGGTGCATATCGTGCATATCTCGACTGCATATCATGCATATTTTGACGGTGCATAACCTGCACATTTGCCGGCGTGCATATCATGGATAATTCGACTGCCTATCGTGCATTTTTGACGGTGCATAGCCTGCACATGCGCATATTGTGTACTGTGCATAGCCTGCACATTTTCCGGCGTGCATATCGTGCATACTTTACTGACACACAAGTTGTGCTGCTTTCTTTGGGTGAGCCGGCGTTGTTCTGGCTGGGCAGCACATTTTGGGGTCATCCGCACCCCGCCGGCTTTGCGCCCTGGGCTCAGCTCCCACACCCAATCACACTACTGTTGTGCAACACAGTATTTTATTTGATGGAATGTCTGGCCAGCAAAGGCTCAACTGAAGAAGATGGATGCATTGAGTGAGAGAGGGAGATCAATGCATCATCTTGTGAGGGAGAGAGCCGAAGAGCAGGGGGTGGCTGTGAGCTCACTCTCTCCTTCCACCCACCTGCCGGCGATCTCATCCTCAACAAATTCCCATTTCTGCGCTCACCCACCCACCCACAGCCTGTTTGATTTTGATTGCTGTACAGCAGTAGAGCAGAGTCTGCGGGGTCATCCGCACCCCGCCGGCTTTGCGCCCTGGGCTCAGCTCCCACACCCAATCACACTACTGTTGTGCAACACAGTATTTTATTTGATGGAATGTCTGGCCAGCAAAGGCTCAACTGAAGAAGAAGTACAAAAGTAGTAGTGCTATTGTCCCTTGCGGTCCTCGACGAACCGGCGGCAACCAATTGGATGACTTTCAAGGGTAGAGGCAGTATGAAGTGCACACGCTGTCCCCGACAATCCGCGTCAGTCTAGCACCACTGCTTCTTGTTGGGCATCTGTCAGTAGTGTGCAGCGTGCCATTCAAGCACGTGCAGAGCTATAAGTATCCTCTAAATGTCGACTGGAAGTGAATCCAGAGGCGGCATTCCGAGAAGAATATACTTTTGAGAATACCACCAGCAGAATATTGCATGTAATTCAGGTTCACACGGAAGATTACGCCTCTTGGCCATGGCAGCAGATGACGAAAAGCAGCAGGAATCGTGATGATGGTCACTGCACGTGAGATAGTCACACTCCAAAACGGGACTAATGAGCGTGCTCTGACCACTATTCCGTGTATTCCCAACCCAAAGGCGAATCTAGCCCCGAGAAACTTCTGTTTAATACTCTGTCATGCTAATAAATATAAACTGGAAGATTATCTCGTCCGTCAAATTGCAAAAATTATCTGGGTAACAAATGTTCTGTTAAACCGGTGCATTCCTTCAACGCGATAATATAAACGCTACCACCATCCACAATCTTTTCTACATCTACTTCGAGATTAGATAGTGGCTTAATGCACACCCGAACTTCGAATGAGTCACTCCAGCTGCCTAGATGCTGAATGGTTCACTCCCGGGAAAGAATTTAATTTCAGAATGAGAATATGAGGAGAGTATGGACACTATCAAGCCGACTGTGAGCTTGTGGGAGCTTCTGTGGCCTCAATATTGGACGGCTTCAGAGAGTATTAGTCCCATTATGCGATCCGGGCGTCTGAAAGCCGCAGCGCTCCAATATTACTCTCGCTGAGCTCAATCCCGGAACAGTCGAATCTATAATGGCTTCACGAGATAAACTTATGCGCTCATCACACGTGTGGCGCACCCAGGCATGCGGATCAGCTGTCAGGGATATGGCATAGCCTGGACCGAGTTTCACGCTGGTATAAGCTTTTTTACCTCCCCAAATTTGGGGCAGTCATGGCGAAGAAGAAGTCTAAGGTTACTGCGCGCCGCAGGGATACTGCACTCGACATTTCCATTTCAGTTGAGGGCGAGGGCATCCATGACAGTGTGCGGTCGGGCGATGCAAACTTTCGCATCTCTGATGATGGGAGAAGCCATTCTCAAACTCTCACCAACGTCCACTTCAGCAAAAGACGTCGCATTGGCACACTCAAAGCCAGTGAGCTCTCGGATTCCCTTGCCCAATGAACACCGGTACAACAACCCAACGAGATATCACCGGATTTGGAGGAGTCTTTGGACTTGATTTCGCCCGACTCTCGAAAACGCAGGTACTACCAGAGCTCCGTGAGTCACTGTTCTTTTGAGCGTGCACTTGACTAACGAATGTCAGGATAACCCCATTGTCGATTTCCGTGAAGCTCAGGAACTCTTTTTCAATGAGATTCTGCGTGCGGCGGGGTTGGGAGGTCCGTTGGAAGGACGAGCTTGCGCAGAGTGTGGGTGCGGCTGGGAATCACCAGATGATCCCAGCGTTGGGATTATATGCTGCACGGACTGCGGCAACGTCCTTTTCTGCACAGAGTGCGGACTCAAACGACACCAGCGAGCTCCTCTGCATGTCGTCACAGTGCGTTTCGCTCCTACCATCCCGCATGTTCTTTACTCACAGTCGATCCCAAGAAATGGACCGGTACCTTCTGGAAGTCAACAACGCTTCGTGAATTGGGACTTCTTTACCAACTTGGTCACCGTGGCGGGCCGTGCTATCTCCCCGATCCGCTACTGCGTACAATGGTGGTCATCGACATCAATGGCATCCATCAGGTGTTGTACCAGCGATGCGCCTGCGAGGCCTGTGAAGGAGCCTCCCCTGTTCCGGCCTTGCTTCGTAACAAGTGGTTTCCAGCAACAACGCGAGATCCCGACACTTGCGCAACCTTCCGTTGCCTGGAGTACTTCCGACTGGCAACTGTGATAGGCTGCCTGAACTCGCAAGACTTCATCCGGACATTGTAGCAAACAACTTCGGCCTCAGCCGTCGCACGCTTGTCAAAGGTGGCGGTATGTTTCCTCTTTCCCGTCCCTCACGTACCGGTTCTGACTGCTAGTTATTAGGATCGATATACAATGTTCCTCCGTATGGCTCGTGAATATACCCATCTGCAGCGTGCAAAGCGAGCGGGCAGAGGTCACGTCAAAAACGGTCTCGCCACCACAAAGCCCGGTGAATGTGCAGTTAGATGTTGGGCCTGCCCGGATCGTGAACGCAACTTACCGTTGGGATGGGACAAGGTCAACGAAAAAGAAGCGTGAGTTTGCATTTGTGTGTACCGGCGGAATGTCAGACAGATCCCAGAACAGCTACTTGTTCCGCACCGTACTTGCACTTGATGCAAACTTCAAGCTCAAGAATTTCATCCGTCTGAATGAGCGTGATGACACCCCGCTGGGTCCAGGATGGGGAGCATGGGTTGAGCCAAAGAAATATCATGAGCATTTGCGTGGCTACGTGGGTGAGAAGGATGTATGTGCTAGTGTACAATGCACGGAACTACACTGAATGGCTTCACAGATCAGTTCTTGTATCGCTTTTGCAGCATTGGCGCAAAAGGACACCCGCAACACAGTCGGTCTGAGAGTGTCTGGCGTCGGCGGATGTGCCTGTGCTCGACACGAATGTGTGCGACCCAATGGTCTGGGTGATTTGCAGAAGGGAGAGAGGTACGTGACATGCGACAATACTCTCGGATTGAATGATGCTGATGACTTTATTCAGATACGCTAACATGGACTTTATTGCCATGTCAGCGCTGCGTGGTTTCAATCTCAAGCAGCTAACTATCTCCTACGATATTGCGTGCCAATGGGGCATCAACTTGTGGGAACGCATCTCGAAGTTACCAGAGGACCTTCATCTTGATTTCGAGTCGTTCTGGTTCCGCTACGGTCTCCCAGTGTGGCACGCAACTGCCCACGAAGAGTCGTGCACGAACCGATTCAGCCTGGGCCTCATTCCCGGATTGGGCAAAACTGACGGAGAGGGCATCGAGCGTCTTTGGGCAGAGCTCAACGCGTTTGCGTATCACACCAAGACAATGGGCCTGGGACATCGGGCAGACACACTTGACGACAAGATCAACTACCACAACTTTACGAAGAACCTCTCTCAAAGTTTGTGACTGCTTTCCCCGAGGCTACAAACCGTCTCACAGTTTCACAGGTGACATCCTTCGTCGCAAGCTCATGGTTGCCACCGCCAAGCATGCACGTCAGATCACATGCTGGGACGATGTCAACAAGTCAATTGATGAAGAACTGCGCAAAGAGTGGCAAGGCGACATTGATATATTTGAAGATGACCCTGTTGTCGCCAAGTCCCCGTTCTCGATGGTCTTCACAGGTACGAGCACATGTACTATCCTGCTTTGACGTGAAACTAACGCCGATGCAGCGGGCCCGAGTGAGGCCGAAGTACGCTTGGAGCTCAAGCGTGATGAGGAGGCTCAGATCACCGCAGGTGCTGCAGCGCTCCATGGAACAAGTGCAACAGCGTTCTTGACCTCGGGGCTGGGCCTGGAGGAGAGTCAGTATGTGCGAAAACCTTTCCGTCATACATGACTGACATTTGATCAGACGACGCATCAAATTCCAGCTATCGGATGCTGCCCATGTGTCGCTTCATCGGCAGAACCAAGTTGAGGACTACCGGCTCTCCTTCTTGTCGAAGCTCGGTCCATTTCGGGGGCTACAGCAAGTGTACACGATGGCATCAATCAGGGCATTGGAGAACGACACACGTCAGAGGGAGGGTGCTGCCACCTCGACGGCGCTATTGCCGGAAGATGTGAAGCTGTACCTTCCGTCAGCGCTACCACCGGGCGAGCGGGCCTTGGGATGCCAGAGTGGTGTAGCTGAGATGGAGGCTCGTCTGCGCGAGGCCCAGTGCACAGACGCGTTGGCGGCGTTGCAAAAGCACCTCCATGCAAAGCGTCACCTGTGGTTCTGGAAGATGAAGCGCTCAAAGGGCCAGAAGGCGGGAGCACAGGCATATGGAATTGTCAAACAAATCGACGGCCGCATCGCACAAACCGCAGCAAAGTATCGAGCAGCAAGGTCCGCACTTATTGCTTTGAAGGGGGCTGCGCATGCTCCGCACTTCCAGGCGCTTCTTCCCGAGCATATCAGCCTTGATGACGTGTCAAACATGGATGCAGAAGCTGTTCAGAGGCTGAAGAAGGCAGACGCGGGGAGAGGGGAGCGTGCGGCGAGGCAACAGCCGGGAACGTCAAAGAAGGTCATGTTGTGGATCTGGACGGTGAAGGTGCCAGGTGTAGAAGGATCAGAGATGACGATTCATGACTGTGAGTGCACTTACCTGCTGAAAACATGTGCTGATGTATGCATCATTAGCAATTCGTCTTGAGTGGTGCCGTGCAAAAGCACGCAAGAAGCGATGGGAGGAGGAGGTACTCCTGCTGAGGGAAGAGATGCGGAGGGTGCTGAGAAGCATCGACTACGAGGCTGCGGCATGGAAGAAGTGCACTGAGGTAGAGCGTGATGATCTTGATGTGGAGGTCCACGCGGGAGTCATAGCCTACGCGCTGAAGCAGGCAGATTGGTGCCACCAGCTACGGGATCACTTTCATGCAGAATTCGATGTTCCGCTTGCTGAGGCCGCCGCGAAGGTTCATGAGGTCGACTATGGTGGTGTACAGGATTTGCTTGACAGTGGGAGATAGTTTTTTGGGGGGCTAGCTCGTTTTACATGAATGCGCGAGAGAGTACAGTACAGAGCATACAAGGCTCTGCTGGTGAACATGAGTGAGACGGCCAGACTGGAGAACCGGACACACGCACAGGTAACCGAAGCCCCACCATCCCTGTCTCTCGAGTCCTACTCCTACTCCTCACACAGCAACGGACAATGCAAGATTCCGGACCTAAGATCCATTGGTTAAGGACAGGAGCACAAATTTTGCAGAGGGAGAGCCAGTGGTTGTCAGGGAGGGCGGGGACGAGGCGAAATGTGTCAGCGGAAGACCGTAGAATGCTGTGGAAGCTCGCCGAAGGTCATGACATCAGCCTTCAGCGTGATCACAAGTCGAGTGCGCCCAATTGACACATGGCCTATCCTCGGACAAAGCAAACGGTGCAACAAAGCAAACGGCGCGGATTCCTCTGGCACATGAACAGTAAAAGACTACCAGAATGTTCGTTGAGTTGCTTGCCAGTACCACGCCACTCCCGCCATCTCATCCCGGGTCGCTGCCTGCGTTGCATACACATATTAAGACATTAGTGTATACTGTGCCTGTACTGTATGGTTTGTTTGCGAAGACTCACTGATGCAGGGTCCCCGTAACGTCGGGTTTGATGCGTACATGGAAGCGGGCCAGCGATCAAATGCCACGACGGGGATTGTCTCCATTGGGAAGGGATTAAATTTCTTGATGTACATTGGGCAATGATCTATTGTAATTATACTTGATGGCATTGTTGGCACGCTAGCCGACAAGCATATAGAATCATGTGAGGACTGTATGGTCATGTGCATAGTACGGCTGAGAGACAGTAGGAGGAAAATGTAGTGGTTCTACCCAGCGCATGGGTAGAACTGGCCTCGAAGGCATCAGGTGCACAGTATGGCTGAGAGTCGGTAGGAGGAAAAAGCAGTGGTTCTACCCAGCGTGTGGGTAGAACTGGCCCCGAAGGCATATGGAATTATGGGTAGAACCAGGACGGAAGCCTAAATATTACTGCTAGGGTTGTCTCATGATCCTCCAGGGCAAAAATACCAGACTGATTTCCTAATCATTCAGCCTGCATTGGTTGTCATTGAGATTTTGAACTCACCGGTTGCTCTTGAGAGATCCGATAAGCCTCAACGTGAACTTGCTGTTGGTAAATAACCCATTTGAGGGGAAGCACATAATCCCCATCTCGACGCTGGGCAATTTCTTTCACATAGAAATGATTATTTGGAGCCTGCGCCCAGTCGGCCCACATGGGGGAGAGACCATCTATGTCAATCTCTTTGAGGTATTTCTCTGCCTGCCACACTTCCGCCACTGTGCTGGTGATTTCCAGCTACAGGGTAAGATCTTTCTGAACAAGGGGATTGGCAAAGTCCTGTAATTATCAGGGCACAGCCGGAAAGAATAGAGCAGTACTCATACCAGTGCAATGAGGTCCTTGGGCTGATTCATAAAGAATGAATTCTTCAAAACAGAGGTATGAGCTGTAGGAACAAGACCGAAATCACGAGTTGCTTGAGATTGGAATTTCCTGAGCGCATAGAATGATGGGACATTCTTTGCTCCGTACTCTTTGAGGACCCAGATAAATAACTTCAACTGGTCATCGGACAAGCGCAGTCTGGGCAAGTTGTCCAATAAATCGAGCATGAACATCTGAGGAATTGCCATGAAGTTCCGTGAATCATTGACCAAATGCACAACTTCTCACCACTTTTGATCCTTGCAGAGACCACTCGGGATCAAAGCCCGGGGTTTCTCTCTCATCTTTGTCCTCCTCGTTGTTGCTATCTTCGTCAATGCCTTGATAAATGTTCAGCATTTGGCAAGTCGGATGTGTGAAGAACAACCTTGAGCAGCCCGTCGATGTTGTGCATCCGAGACCGTGGGGTCCTCGGAATCATTCTCTGTGCTTCTAAAACTCTCTGCGAAGATTGTGTGGTCCAAGAACGCCAGATTTTCAAGATCTTGAATGATTTGATTCACCACAGCTTCTGCGCGATTGTCTTGGGGCAATTCTCCAGCAGAGAACAGTGTGGGGCGGCCATGATCATCAAGAATATGGCTCCCGTAGGCTATCGCGTCACAGAACGGGTTATTGCTGTCCTCGAAAAACTGCGACCGATCATGCACGTCATGTACCCCAGCCGCCTCGAAGCGATCTGGCACTATCATCGATGCAGGGATTGCGTTGATGGACGGAACAACTCCCCCCTGCTTTGACCCCAGCGCCTGGCATTCAAAGCCGAGGTGTCAAGCGTGGCCTTGCAGAGCTGAAAGTGGAGGCAGAGACCATCGCCCGCAAGAAGAACTTCGGGCTGACGCATTTCACTGCTCTTGTCGAGTTCTCACAGGTGCGTTTGCCTGACTCATCTACAATTGTGCAAGTTCATGCTGACATTTTTGCGTGCATTCTGCGCAGATGGATGCAGCGGGCCAGCGTATTTGGCTTGCCGCAGAGATGCTTAATTGTTCGGGAGAAAATACGGTTGTTACTGGGAAGTGGGAGCCGTCGACAGAGCTCAAGGTGTGTGTTTTGCTCTGGATCGAATCGATAACTCACGCAGTGCAGGGCAAGGCCACATCCAAGGCAATCCTTGTCCTTGTAAATCCGAACCTCTATGCGTATCGCAGAGATGCGGGAGGACCAGCCAAGATTGTGTATGTGAGTGCGACCCTGCCCTGATCCCATCTGGATTCTTGAGTGATGTGTTGTGTTACTCAGGATGCTTGTGTTGCTAACCCATCTTGGGGATTCCCGACACGTTTACATAACGACAAGAATACCCAGAAGGTACTCAAGAGCAGCATTTCCATCATCCTCAGCGGGCTGCGCAACAAGGTCAAGGATGTGGTAAGTCTGAGTTTGTCTGCGACGACGGTTACTTAGAATGTCCCCCAGCTTGCAAAATCCCTTGGTACCGTCGTTGCCGGCAACAATGATGCTCGCCGGCCGGATGCACCAAATGTATTAGAACTGGCTACCGACATCTTCGCAAAGCTCCATGTCACTGGCAATGTCGACATCCGCTTCTGTGCCCGTGTTTCTATTCTGGTATGTGACTGCTTCATGATGTGCCAGGAATCTTGCTGACATTGTTTGCAAGCGTCACCAGACAAAGGAGGCTGCAGCACTTCCTGAGTCGGAGAGGAAGCCTGAAAGGTTCTGGGTTGACGTTGATAATACACTTACAGAGATACGTAAGCAGTTCAAGAATTGTCCTCCTGAAGAGCAGTCCAAGTCAGTCCTTTCATTCTCGAGGCACGCACGGAACCTGACTGCATGGCAGATGGATCAAGAAGTACATGCTCGATGTGGACCTTGCCTTATATGGAACCCCACTTGACTTGCGCACTGTCATGGCTACGGCACCTGCACCTGCCGCTCTGGAAACAGACGATGAGCAGCTTTAGCAGCTGGATCGATTGAAAGAATTGGGCCTGCTTACATTCTTTATTGCTTACAGTATCTACTTGTTTAATCTAATCTGCGATATCTTATCTGCATTGATCTTTCTGAACCAAGTTCCAATTAGCTGAGAAAGCAATGAATACACAATTGAGGAATTGCATTTGTGAAACATCGCCGAAAGGTTTTCAGGATGTCCGACATGAGGTATCAAGAACATCAGCATTCCAGAAAGGTTTTCCTATTTGACACTTTTGCTTTTGACATGGTTACGGAAACGTTTCACAAACGTCTCAGCCGGAACCTCTGTATATCATCCTGCACAAACCGGGGTGCACGGTGTCCGAGAGGCGAATTTTGTCCGGTAAGTCGCACTAGCCCTCCAGTCCCAACACCCCCAATTCTCCCCAATTTTGTCCGATTTGGCGCTAGTAGTGTTGCCGTGGTCCAGTTCAGAACCTGAGTGAACCCGGTTCGAACTTGAACTGGACCCCAGGTCCAGTTCGCCGAGATGCCCGAAACCGGACTGAACCGATGGTCCGGTTCAAGGTTCAGCTGGAGGTGAAAAAATCTGGACCGGTCCGAACCTGTTCGAACCTGTTCGAACCTGAGTTTTTGGCCTGTAGTCATAGGCTCATTGGTAGCAGAAATACACCTCTGAGCATGCATGTTCCCACGGAATCAGCTATCATACCTATAATAGTGGACTAGCAGGTCATATGTGCTTCTCGTAGGCAATGTATTTACATGTGTGCATGTGCGTGATGCTTCAGTCTTGTCATGTGACTAGTACTCCAATGGCTCTAATCCCCTCAGGAAAGTCTCAGGTGCCTAAAATTGTTGCTAGGGACGTGAATCTTCACATGATGCACACCGCTATGATCAACGATGGCGCTCTGTACCTGTTGCATGTTGCATAGCGCGGGCATTTTGCACCCTCAGGTTCGAGGTTCGAACCAAGTTCGAACCTGAACTTGACCCGAAAGAACCGAACCGCAGGTCCGGTTCACCCGCTTTGACCGAACCTGAACCGGACCTCAGGTTCAGTTCAAGGTTCGCAGAATTTGGGTGAAAACCGGACCGAACTGAACCGCGGCAACACTAGGCGCTAGGCTTTCGGGCTCAATCCTTTGAAAATTGTCCGGCCCCGGCGCTAGCCTCATCAGGTATAATCAGAGGTCCTGTTTTTTGGGAGAAAATCATGAACTTGATAAACATATGGGCGTCGAGAGATTGCTTGTCAAATTGAAACCAGACAATGAAAAACCCTGTTTTCTCCTCTGTTTGAGTCTAATCACAGCTGAGCTTCGACTCTCCAGTCTTGAATCACAAGAATCATGTATATTTACGCAAACAGAATGCACCTCAAGCATTGAGAACAAGAGATACAAGGCCAAAGCATGCAACCATTGTGTCACCCTTCCACGCATGCCTAACCGCTGCACTCTTCTGCGAGCCCTGACCCACTCTACTGCTGGCAGTGATGAGAGCGTTCAACTCCCCAGGTACATCCTCGACCGTGCTGAAGTCTCCCGCCACCTGCCCCAGCGGCACACTATACGGATCGGGCACCGGGCCGCGCATCCCGCCAGGTGGAAATACGCTGACGAGCGTCTGGTTGAGCGATGGCGCCGCGGGGTCGGGGAATATTCCGGTCTGTAGGAAGGCGATTTCGAGAGCGTGAGTTGCTGTGTTTGGGACTGAATTCAGTCGGGGGGTGTCAATCAGCAGATTGTATTGGGTCAGGAAGGCGAGGACGCACGGGCGATAGACGTGTGGTCGTCTCCGTGGCGGATGATCAGCGTCGAGTTTGGTGTATGCTCGAATGCGAAGGTGGTAAGCTCCGTCGGGAGACTAGAACACACAATACAAATAAGAAATTGGATTCAAGTACATCGTTCATCCAACCTGGGACTCACTTGAGATCAAAGTCCGAAGTGACCCACATCAGCGGGAGATCACTCGAGAAGACGCTGGGTTCGGGTGCAGAGAATGGCCACGCATCGCACATAAGCACGAACTGCCAGATCTGAGAGTACACCATGCGGTTAGGATCACTCTGCGCCGTCAGCCAGAACTGTTATCCCATTAAAAAGACGGATATTTACCGACGCAGCGTTCGTCCTCAGCTCCTCGAACGCAGCAAACGTGCTGTTATCGGTCTCTGAGAAAAACGTTTAACCCGTCAATACAATAGCCCATCCTGCCTCGCGACCCGTTTCAGCACTCACTCAGATCCGAACACAGCAGCGGCACCACGACACTCTCGCGGATATCAGCCGCAGGCACATACGCAAACAGACTCGCGTCCCCCGCGAGCGACGCGTTCAGCGCGCGGTTGAACAGCGGGAAATCCGGGTTCGCGCGCAGCAGCACGCTCGCGCCGAGCCGCAGATCCGTCTGCGTCACGGGCGAGTTGCACGGCAGGCCGGATGGGGGTCGAGCGCCGGACGCGCATTGGGGCGCGGGGATCGGCGCGCGGTCGAGGAGGGTGTTCCAGGCCGCAACGACGCTACCCTTGCCTTGGCCGTGGAAAGGGCAGGAAGGGTCGGCGAGGCAGTACGCGTCGGCGCGGAGGAGGAGGCGGTTGAGGGCGGAGACTTGGTCGGTCACCATGTCTTGAAACGGCTGTGGCATGGTTCAGATGATGGATCAGATGATGGCCAAAGATAATACCATCCCATGCGGGAGCACGGCGTCCAGAACAAATCGACCCACGCGATTCGGGTACTTCTGGGCGTATGCCGCACCGACGAACGTGCCGCTATGATTTTGGACCCCCAGATGAGCATAGATGCCAAGGAGAAATGCTGAGAAGTTGCGCACTATGAAACGCCAACAAAATGCACCACGTCGTATCCAAGAGAAGCACGGATGGCATCCCAGTCTTGAATAACCTCGGCAGTGCCGACATGTTGCACGATCCCCGCCGGCGAGCTGTTCTGCACACATGAGTCGATGAACTTTGACACCGCCCCCTGGTAATCGTCAAACTCCGTTTGATTGCTCGGGCTATCAGGGGCCGCATCAGACAAATTTCAAATGAGGGGGGGGGGGCTGCGCACAAAGCAAAGGGAATGTCATTGAAGAACACTCCGGAAGAGCAGTTGAGCGGGTTGGACAGCTGGATTCCGCGTGTGTTTACCGCTGCGAGAAAGTCAGGGCTGCGGCCAGGCACGATAGAAAACTAACCCAGGAAATCGAAATTCTCCAACCCAGCGAACGTCTCGGCTCCGCTCACATTCAGCGCATTTACCCACGCCTGAGACGCTGCGTCAAGGCCCGGACCCCCTGCATGGCTAGTCGGGGCTATCGTCATTTCCTTTCCTAGCAGACAACTCCGGGCACTCACAAGAGGACTAGACCCTCCGACTTTCCCAACGCCGCGCGGTTCATCGCGAACCCGACGGTGATCTGGTTCGTCCCCGGGAGCATGGCCTGCGACCAATCCATCGGCACGTCGATCTCGCCACACGCGAGTGACTTCGGGAGCGGGAGGAGCGAGGAAGGAAGCGTTCCAGTGCTGGTGATGTTCAGCTGAGCTTGAACGGGAAACGGGACGTGCGTCGTGCAATCCACCCAGCGGATCGCACTGCTGCTGTTGTTGTTGGTGGCGGTGGTGGTAGTCCCGGATGCGACTTGGCGGGGCAGGAGGCAGCGCGCATACACCGTCGCGCTGCTCGTGAAGAGCATGAAGATCAGAGGAATGATTTGATAGAGCGGTGGGAGGAGGTGCATTTTGGAATCGAGTCAATCGGGCTGCCAGATGTGAGCAGGAAAGAAAAGACGAGTGGGTTGCAAACTGTTAGGCCTCGTCGCCCGCTATTTGAGCTGCTGTCTTCATGGCTTACAGGCACCCAAGAGGTCGCGTACTATAATGAAATGAAACCAATCAAACCGTCGGCTGGAGAGTGCGCAGCCGGCTACTGCGCAGCGCACAAGTGAATAACTGATAGCATCTCGTCGTACCGGTCATTATCACTGCGGAGCAGCATCGCCGCTCGAGTTTGACCTGGAGATCTGATGAGAGCTACACTCTGTTGTCGAAGGGCGCCACTCGAGCTGTGTCGTTGACGATCGCAAAATGTGCAGGGCGGTGGGTCACTAGGATGCTGCGGCAGTGTTCGCCTTAAGGGTATTAATAAGGGTGTTTTTTGAAGTTAAGTTATTAAGGCTTAATATACCCTTAATATTAAGGGCATTTTAAGGCCTTATTAAGGCCTTTCCAAAAAAGATATTTCCAAAATAGGCCAAGAAATCAATTAGCCCCGGACAAGAATTACAGTACAAGCATCGCAGTCGTTACTTATTCGTCCATGTATTCGTCTCCCGAGCATTCCAAAGCTCCATCATCCGGTTCCTCGTCAGAGTATTCTGCAGCTAGAAGCTCCATCAGCCGTGCCTCGTCAGTGAAGCGGTGACTGTGTCGGAGTTCGATGGGATGTACCGCCGCCTCGCCAAAGAGCAAGTTGAGACTCCGTGGGAGCCATCGTCGTGTAGCGGGTCCAAAGGCAGCTGCGGGCACGTGTGTAACTTGATCACGCGTGATGGCATCACGTCAGACTCCTTCCAGCTGCGAGTGACTCGATTCAGCTTCAACAATGGCGCCCGTGCTCAGACAATCTTTTTCCCTCCCTTCAACCCCCGCGAATACAACCGAGCCATGCCGATCGCACTCTCCACGAACCCCCTGACAGGAGAACTGTACTTCCGCCTGCCGCTCCCGCACTCCAACTTCATCCTCACCCCACCGCGCGCGTCCGACGCCGAATCGCTCATGCACATCATCCGCGATCCCGCGGTGCACACGTGGCTCGCACGGCCGAGCGCAGAATGGGGGCTTGACGACGCGCAGATGCTCAACGACGCGCACATCGCGCAGGCCCGCTCGGTTCTACAAGCTATGCAGGAGGGGGACGGGCTGGGCTTCTTCGGCGACTGCCCGCTGCGCGCGATCCGAGAAGTGGGGCAGCCAGACGCTGCAGACGTCCACGTCGGGAATGTGTCCATAAAGCGGTGTGGGTGGTTCGATGTCGCAAGTCCGCAGAGGGAGGCGCTGATCGCGCTGAACGACGCCCGCGCGGTGGGAGATGGGGATATCGTATGGCAGGTTTCCGGTGCGTCTCAAGTTCCCTTGTATAGTGCTTTCTGGTGCTGACTGGTCGCTCACAGACTTCCTCGCCCCGAAACACCATCGGCGGGGAATCATGACCGCCGCGCTCTCGGCACTGCTCGCCGCGTGGTTCGTCCCGCGAATGAACGTGCGCAAGATGCACGTGTGTGTGTGTTTGGGAAATGCGGGCAGCGTGCGGGTGCTCGAGAAGCTTGGCTTCGTTCTGAGTGCGACGGTGGAAGACTTTCTTCTGGTGCGCGGGGAGAAACGGGGATTGCAGGTGCTGGATTGGGATTACGAGGACGCTCTGCTGGATTTGCCTGGACTTGCCGTACAGCTGTCATCACCCTACAACACAATTCCGAAGAAAGAGCTGCATTAAAGCATGTCGTGCAACAACGGCGGAGATTCAGGCGCGCATCAATCATGCCATTGCCGAAGACCGTAACAAGCCCACCGCCCTAGGACAGCAGCGAGAATCCCTCTGAGACCATCTACCTCAATCCATCTAGTCATTGGAAAATCACGCGATCTCGTAATCACCCCACTGCACCCAGCGGAACCACCACCAAAAGCGCACCATCAATCCCGGGAGAATGGCGTAGGACTGCCCGTGTCCGTCGACATATGCCACGACCGGCATGTCCCCCACACAGGCCCGCTCGCCATCTGCCGCAGCTTCTCATTGTACGCAGCAGTCGCAGTGTGCGTGATCCCGATGGCCGACGCGCGGTTTGGCAGGACGGGGGCAGATGAGGTCGCTCATGTATCGCGCCTGGCAGTCGTCTTGATCCATCAGCACAAGCGTCCCTTCAGGCCCCTGGGATTCACGCACCCGATTCCCGGAAGTGAACCGCAGCGAAAGTTGGCCGATGATCGTGATCAGCCCTGCCGGTGAGGATCAGCGCACGTGGTCCCGATGTTGAACCCCTTAACTTACGTTCACCGGAGATCACAAACAAATTCGGAAAGCCGAGGAGACAGGTGCCCATGTGCCCATTCGGATCTCCGCTTTCCTCTTGATAGTCCGCGTCAATATATTGCTGTTTTCAAGTGATAGGGATGGGAAGAGCATCCTGGTGCGAGAGCTCAACATATCACGTGTGTGGTTGGAATGCAGGGATCCACTTGCCAGCGCGCTAGAAGATTGGGCGGCCCCTTGAAGAGGCCTTTCTTTACCCTGAGACAATCGGGCAGGCGGGGGAGGTCGAAAAACCGCATCGTGCAAATCACGACCCGCGTCCTCGGCACCCCGCCCAGCGATAGCGCCACCTGATATCTTTTCGCTTCCGGAAGCCACCCGGCAACTCGTTGACACGCCTACGGAGCGTATGAGCGCGCAGCTGTACGGGGAGAGACAGGGGGCTAGTCGGAGGTGGTGGGGAGGGAGCTGCGGCTCGAGCTCGCGCAGTATAGTGTGTGGGATTCTGATCCTAACAAGGTCAGGCTCGGGGAAATGGGCTTAAAAGGTCAGGCTCGGGGAAATGGGCTTAACTGAAATGGGCGGGGGCAGCAGTGAGCAACAGGGGGAGTAAAGGGACGATAGAACAGGCGATGGGACGATAATGACAACGGAGGACAGGACGAGAGGACGATAGAACGACGGGGAGATCAATATGTATGTCTGTAGCACGAAATGGGGGTTTGGGGGCGATGTTGGGAAAATAATGCAGAAGCAGGCGCCGAGAAAGCGAGATAGAAAGTACTGGGAAGTCACTTTAGACTCTAGAGAGTGGGTGAAGAAGATTTCTTGTTTTTCTTGTACTGTACTACAGGTCTTTTATACTAAGTGTGAATCAAATCCAAAGGAGATAAGTAACTTGAACCTGCTGTTGATATGGTGACCATTGAGCTCTATGTTAATTTATTTCTTTAGTCAGTGCTGAATTTCGCCGAAATGAATGAGTCCTGTGAGCACAACAAGGAGACGAACTCCGAAATAGGACCCCGCCGGAGGCATCCAGTGATGACCAGAATGATCACGTGCAACAACCTTGATGAGCTCGCTGACAAATCCATTGAGATCTTTCAGTGCACGTGATAGATTGATCAAATGATCACGTGCAACAACCTTGACGAGCTCGCTGACAAATCCATTGGATCTTTTCGTGCACGTGATCGATTGATTTCAGGGCTAGGGCGCATCACTGCTCGTCATCTCCCTCCAACTGAAAATCTGACTGTCCCCAGTCAGTCATCAGATCGAATTGAGGCCGGAACAAGGGGGGGATTATCGGTTCGGGGGCTTGATCACAATAGGTGCGTTGTGTGGAATGCACTATCAGCCATCGGGTTGCTAGAGCTCTGCTTCAGCGCCGCCAAACTTGCTCTGAGGCTCTGATTCGTTGTCGATCCCCTCCGGGTCCGCCAGGAGGGATTCTTCGAGCTCACGCAACCGTTCCGTCGAAATATCGAGCAGATCCTCGAGTGGGGGAAGGGGAATAGTGCGGCGCGCAAAATAAGGTATGACGCGGAAGGCAGCAATAGGCCGGTGGAAAACCGAGCCGTCAAGCTCACAGACGATGTAAGCGCCTCCCCGATTCCTTGAGACGACTATCAGCGGTCCCAGGTAGCGCTTGCGCATTTTCCTGCTCAGGGACTTCTCGATCGCCGTATTTCTCATCAAGACCAGGTCGCCGCGCTGAAAATCGTAGTCGCGGATCGTGTGAGCGTGCTCTTGCTCAAAACGGATCGCTGCTTGCACGCGGGCCTCGAGGACGGCGGAATGGAGGAACGCCATTTGTTCCCGGCGCTTCTGCAGGGCGATGGCACGGTGTGAGATGAGCTCTGTGGACGACAGCACGGATGCGGGGGCCGGGAGGAGGTAGGTTGCTTCGGAGATGTCGAGTGGGAGCAACGGGTGCGCGCCGGTGACGGCAAAAAATGGTGAGCACCCCATACGTCGACGTACAGTTACTCGATCTGCCCAGAAGACTGAGTGTGCTGTCGAGTGCCATTTGGACTGGATTCCGTCCGCGGCTTTGAAGAGGGACTCCCGGACGTCGAAATGTGGGCGCTCCGCCAGATTTGCCTGTGAATTGTAACCGGAAATTCGAATGTGCCGGACGTTGTATTGTCTCTCAAGGTGAGTGAGCGCTTTCACGAATGGTGTCCCATTGTCCGTCACAATCTCGACTAATGTCCCCCAGCGACACAAGATGTCCTGGAAGATCCACGTTGCAATTGCCGCAGCGTTTTCTTGTCGAAGCATGCGCCATTCGGGGTAGTGGGTCAACAAACAACGCCCTTGGACAACGTACTTAAAGCCTCCGCTGGTGGGTAAGTGCATTGTATCCATGTACATTTTCGCAAAGATTGGTGCCGGGGTTGCGACTGTAGGCGGTATGTGGATCCTGCGCGTTTGCCGCTGCTGACACAGATCACAGGTGCGAACGTACCACACCACGTCACTCGAGAGATGTGGCCACCAGAACCGCTCGAAGATTAGCGCACGCGTCGCAAAGAAGCCTTTGTGGCCTGTGTCGTCGTGTGCGGATCGCATGATGAAGATTCGACGCGTGGGGGGCACAACAAGCTTATGTCGTCCATGTGAGTCCTTCCGCCATAATGCGCCGTCGCTGATGAAGAACTCCATGCAATAGCGTACAAATGTCTTGTATTCGGTGTCAGACATGTCGCGGGGACGCTGCAAGTTCCCATGCCAGGCTTGGACCAAGTCGACTCGGTGATCCGCAAGCATATCCGCTGGTGATCGAGGGACGTCTGTATAAGACAGAGGGGGTGTTGGAGCGTCGACAACACTCTCTGGTACGTCCAGGGGTGTCTCGTCAAGGAAGGTAGCCACACGTTGCGGGGTGCTGTTCCGGTGATACAGTGCATTGTTGATCATATGCACGAAGCCATGTAGCTGATCAATCCAATCGTCAAAATCGTTGTCTTCTTCCGCTGTATCGCCAGGCTGTGGGGGTCGTCGAGAAAGGCCATCGGGACGGTGAGAGATACCGGGGACATGAACGAGCTCAAAATGGAACGTGAGTATGCTCAAAATCCACCTATTGATTGCTGCATTGGGCGCTAGATCCGGGTTTGCCAGCATTCCTTTGATGTACCGTGCATCCACTTCGACCACGAGGTTACGCAGACCAATTAAGTGCATCTTCCATGCTCGAAGGGCTCTGAACAAACCATACAGCTCGAGCTTGGGCTGTGAAAACCGCGATTCACGCTTGTTTAGCGTGATTGATCCAAAACGTGCGTAGAACCGTCGAGCCAGATTCTTTGGATCACACTGCGCAAGGGTCGAGCCGACGGCGATGTAGGACGTATCGACTGAGAGGACCACTGGGGCCAGAGACGTGTAGTCAAGAGGACGGAGTGCCGGTGAGCTGAGTAGGGCCATTTTGAGGTCGTCTTGTGCTCTGACCTGTTCTTTCCCAAAGACAAATGGGACGTCCTTCCGGGTCAGCGATACGAGAGGGCTGGCACGGCGTGCAAAATCACGTATGAACATCCGTACCACGCCAACTGTGCCAAGGAAAGCACGGACTTCGGACAGATCACGGCACGGTCCCCAACTGGCTATCTTCTCGACACGGGAGGGATCAGGGATGCGCCCTTCGTACGTGCAGACATGGCCAAGAACAGTGATCGTTTCGGCGCATAGAATGGCCTTGGGCCCCGAAAAGGTACCTCCACAGTATTTCATCCGTTGTACGATTCTATTGAGCGCCTGGAAGTGTTCCCAGACAAACCGTCGAATCCCCGGATTGCTCGGGATGACCTCGTAACCGCTGCCTGGGAGCTCGTAACGGGTGGCTGGTCCACGGACTGGAGTGTCGTCGATGTAGGGAATGGTGAAGTGAGGGATTTCGGGCTGAAGGATGAAGGTAACGTCGTCGTGGAAGATGGGTACAGAGTTTGACCATCCCATAGGTAAACTGGTGAGTCGCAGGGCGCCAAAAGGTGACTGGAACGTGGTGAAGTCACGGGAGGATTCATCAAGTACGCGCTCATCATATCCAACGTAGAGATCGAGGATGCCGCCACATGCACGGCCTGCGAACTGCTCCGCAACTTGGTCGGTGAGTGGTGGAACACCCGAGTGCTGAATGGTGACAGCGTTTAGCGGCTCGAGACTGTGCACAAGACGGAGGCTGCTGCCGTCTTTCTTTACCATGCAGAACCAGCGCGACCGGTATGATGAATTTGACGGTTCGTAGACGCCAGCTGCCATCTTGCGGCGTATCAGTTCACACACTTCATTGTAGATGCCTGGTGGAACGGGAATGTTGCGCTGGACCCATGGTTTGTGTGGGATCACCGGCATGACCACGGGATGGAAGAAGTCGGTACGGAATTTTCCTCGCTCAATATCTGTCCAAGCGAAGCCGTCATTGTGCAGACACATGAAATGGTGCATTAATCGTCGTTCTTCGGGCCACAGGAAGTCCTCGGGATGAAGGGCCTCGATGATATCGTGGCGTTCGGAGGTGTAGCGGCCAGTCGGAACAAACGGAGGTGGATGGGGGGCGAGGGTAGGAAGGGCTTCAAGTGGATCACCCCGTATTTCACGGACAATTCGGAAGTGCTCTGGTAGAGTACCAAGTACAGGGCGCACTTTTTGCGCTACTGGTTTGTATCGTTTCTTGGCAAACACGTCGACGTGGGAGGATGCATAAGGATTGGAAGCAGATGTAGATTGGTTATAGAGAGGGACAGACACTTGGTATTGAGTGAAGGCAGATGTCGAAGCACCTGGAAAACGGAACGGGGGAGTTGAATCCCCGGTAGGGACTCGGACCCCGCAGTAGATAACGGTTGTGCGTTTGAGTATGCATACTGCAATTTTTCCGAATATTGGTCCAAATTATCACAACCTGTAAGATAAAGAATATTGAGGTCAGCAGACGAATAATTATCAGGGAGTGAAACAGAGGCTTCGAGAATCAATTTTTGGGGGTCTTGTGGGTCAGGTACGATGATAAAAGCGGCCTCTCCTTGATCTGGGATCAAATCCTCGAGTGGGGAAAATCCTGGATCCGGGGACGAGAGCCACGGGGAATAGTAGCAATTGTGGTGACCTTGCCAGTGTTTGGATCTCGAATGGTGATTGTCTGGTTCTCGTCGGCATAATTTCGGATGATGCTTTCCGTCAGGACATCGAAGGGACGTCCCAGGAGGATGTCGTAAGCAGGATTTCGTACAACATGAACCTGCAAATAGAGGGTGATATCCCCAAACGCAAAGGGGACGTTCCGTGCGAGGCCAAGAGAGGGGGAGATCGATCCGTTTGCTGACTGCATTCGGAGAACAACCGTGGGGTCATAGGACGAGCCAAGCTGGTGGCAGACCGCCTCAGACATCGCGATGATTTGAGAACCGCCGTCAATGATGGATTCAACCCTGAGCCGGTTGTCAACCACGGGAAGGACGGAACGGATTGCCGAAGACTCTAGTGAGACAACCAGGTCGTCGATGGACGCGCCGGAATGAACCAACGTTTCGTAATAGTCCGGAATGATGACGGCGCCAGGTGGAAGGGTCGAATTCATGTATCCAGCAGGCATTGAGTCGAAAAATGCAGCATTTCGTGCATCACTGCGCTTCTGCTCGTCCAGAGTCTCGATGTAAGCGTCTGGCGGCAGGGGATCAACGGTATATTGCTCATAAATGTTCGTCGAGACCGGCGGGGCCGCGCTTTTACCATCAGCAGCCGGAGGAACTCGACGGCTACT